ATGACAAATGCTTAAGTTTTTTTAAAAGATTTTTTGATGCAGACCATTTAAAAAAATCTTTATAGAATTTGTTACAATATTGCTTCTGTTTTATATTTAGGTTCTTTGGCCCCTAAGGCATGTGGGATCTTAGCTCCTTGATGCGGGATCAAACCTGCACCCCCTGCACTGGAAGGCAAGGTCTTAACCACTGGACCGCCAGGAAAGTCCCATTGCTTAAGTTTTTATTCAGTTCTGCTTCATAAATATTTATTGACCACCAAGCTAGGCACTGTGAGAAATATATGGAATATGACTTTGCAGTTATCTGACTGGTTTAAAAAAAATGAATTCTTGAATTCATATATTCAAGTACGTGCTGTTCTTTGAGAGGTTAAACATTTTTCTAGGGATGTTTTTACCACTTCAAAATTTTCTAACTCCTCTCTTAGAGCTTTCCTTCAAGCCTGTAGCATATTAAAAAAAATCTATCTATAAATGTAATATGTGTATACCTGTGTATATAGATATATATTCTTAAAATTAGCCAAAAGTTATTTGGTGCTAAGTCCTATGAATGAGGTAGGAGATCAATGTGGATAATATTCTGTTCATCTAAAATGATGTGTGACTGAGTTTGAACTTTGGGGTAAGGTTCATCAATTCCAAAGGAGTTCCACTGATATTGTATGAAATGTGGAGGTATTGCAGTAAGTTTGTCGCTTCTCAAAATGACCCTGAAGGAAAATATTCATTGAAATATAAGAACTCTGAAGTGTTTACAAAAATTTCTAATTTCTTAGCTTGAGAGCCACGCCTAAAAAAGGCTGTTAACCTTTGGAATCTTCTGCCTTGCTAGGAAGATGGAGTGGAAACAAGTGTAATAGTTAGAGAGCAAGAGTTGGTATTAATTACTTGGTGTTGAAACAGGGCTGAGATGATCGTGTGATACAGTCAGGAAGCTGGGGTGCCTGACCAGGCTCCCCTTTTCAGCTTTGCATTCACTCTCAAAGGTGTAGGTTGTCTTTCTGTCAAAATTTTCCCCCTGCTTTTTGCTTTCAAGTTTTCCCTTGCTAGTTGTTTTATCCAAAGTAATTTATGAGCAAATGGTATCAAGTGTGTCTGTGTGTGTTTAACTTCTCTTGATTCCATGTTACTGTAGGACTGATTCTGGAAATGGGAAGTAAAGAAGGAAAGCAATTAACAAGGCTAGTTTAGGATGATTTCTTGAAGGAGGTGGGTGGGACTGACTTTTCCTAAGTTCTAGCGAATAGAGATGACAGGCATTGCTTCAGTGCACATGAAATTCAAATTTATCTAAGGATGATACATTCTCTGTCTAATGCATGGTAGCACTGTCTCCTAGAGTGGAGTGCAAGATACTCGAGGCAAGGATGAGCGCTTCTGAATCTTTTATATTCCTCACAGCACATAGCCAAGTGCAGGACAGACTCATTAAGGCTCACCTCAAGAGTCACCTCTTCTCTGAAACTTCCATGACCCTCTCCAGGCAGTATTGTTACTCTCAGATTTCCATCTCGTGTTCCTTTAAACAAATCCTGTGTCTTAGCTTGGGCTGCCATAACAAAATACCATAGGCTGGGTGGCTTAAACAACAGAAATTTGTTTTCTCAAAATTCTGGAGGTTGGAAGTCCAAGATTAAGGTGCTGACTGATTCAGTTCCTGGTGAGGATCCTCTTCCTGGCTTGTAGATGGCTGTCTTCTCACTGTGTCCTTGCATGGCAGAAAGAGAAAGAGAGCAAGCTCTCTAGTGTCTCCTCTTAGAAGGACACTAATCCCATCGGATCAAGGCTCCACTCTTAAGACCTTATTTAATTTTTTTTTTTTTTTTTTTTTTGCCGTATGTGGGCCTCTCACTGCTGTGGCCTCTCCCATTGTGGAGCACAGGCTCCGGACGAGCAGGCTCAACGGCCATGGCTCACGGGCCCAGCCGCTCCACGGCATGTGGGATCCTCCCAGACCGGGGCACGAACCCGTATCCCCTGCATCGGCAGGCGGACTCTCAACCACTGCGCCACCAGGGAAGCCCCCTTATTTAATTTTAATTACTTCTTTACTCCAAATACAGCTACACTGGGGGTTAGGGCTTCAACATCTGGATTTTGAGCAGACAATTCAGTCCATCGCACCCTTAGAACACTTATTACATTTTGTTGTAATAATTTATGTCTGTCTGCAGTAGACTATGGTCGTCTTAGGTGCGAAGAACTGTGCTAGGCATTGAGAATCACAAAGATGGAACTTGCCCTCAAGGAGCTTGTCATTAGTTGTATTAGCTTTCTATGGCTGCTGTAACAAATTACCACAAACATAGTGGTTCAAAACAACACAAATTTATTATCTTACAGTTCTGTTGATTAAAAGTCCAACACTAGTCTCCCTGGGCTAAAACCAAGGTGTTGGCAGGGCTGTGGTCCTTTTGGAGGCTCTTGGGGATAAGGATTATCTGTTTCCTGCCTTTTCCAGCTTCTTGAGGCTGCCTGCATTCCTTGGCTTGTGGTCCCCGCTTTCTCCATCTTCAAAGCCAGCAAAGTTGCATCTCTGTAACTACTCTTCTGTAGTCATGTCTCCCTCTGACATAGCTGGTAAAGGTTCTCTTTTCTTAAACTGGGCCCATCCAGATAATCCAGCATAATCTCCCCATTCAAAGCTATTTCATTTAATCACATCTGTAAAGTCCCATTTGCCATGTCAGGTAAGATGTTCATAGGTTCTAGGGATTAGAATGTGGACATAATTTGGGGGGGGGCATTATTCGGCCTACTATGTTAGTGGAAGAGAAAGAGGTAAATTAGAGACTCGATGCAACGTGTCAAGTGCAATGTGAAGATCGATTCAGGGTGCCTATACAGGGGAAGCATAGAAGAAGGTGGCTGTTCAACCAATCACAGTAAAAATGAGGCACTGACAGCAAAAAGGAGGAGGAGGAGATGGGTTCCAGAGAGGTAGAAAGGGCATGGTTTGGGAACCAGCTTGAGGTAGGGGATGAGGGAGAAAGAGAGAAAGGGAGTTAGAATGACTTCCAGATTCTGGACTGGGACTGGGTGGTACTCTTTGTAGCTGAGCCTCAGAAATTAACTAGAATGAGGACACAAGTACCTTAGGACTTCTCTCTGCTCCTCTCTTTCTGTATTTTTAAATTTTTCCCTCTGAAGACCAGCATCTTTTTCATCTCCCTTCTGTAGATGAAAACATTACTAACCATAGTTCCATAGTTCTCTCTTTCTCCCTCTGAATTCTGTAGTACTTGGAAAGGGCTCTGATTGATACAGCATGAGTCAGTGTTCCCCTGGTGCATCAGGCTGTGGCCACGGCACAGTTAGTTGCCCTAATGCCATTTTATTGTCATGACTTCTCTGGCTTCAACCATATGGTAGATGGAGGAGTGATTCTTAGAAAAAGCAGACATTGCTGTCTGTTGGGCAGACATCCCACTTACCTTGGAGAAGATGATGTGTTCTGTTTTGTCTTTCTCTTCTTCTTTTTTTTTTTAAGTTGAAGTATAATTTACAGTGAAATGCACAGATCTTAAGTGTTTAGTTTGATGAATTTTGGTAAATGTATACACACACTCAAATCAAGATATAGAACGTTTCCATTACCTCCACAAGTCTCTCATGCCTCTAGCAGTCAATCCCCACCCCTCAAAGGCAACCACTCCTCTGACTTCTGTCACTGTAGAATAGTTTTGCCTGTTCCAGAACTTCACATAAATGGAATCATACAATACTTACTTTGGCTTCTTTCATTCAACATAATGCATCTGAGATTCAACTAAGTTGTTGCTGTATCAGAATCCACTCCTGTTTGTTGCTGAGAATCTATCACTGAATGCATATATCACACTTGTTTATTCATTCACCTTCTGATGGACATTTGGGTTCTTAGTTTTTTGGTTATAATGGACATTTTTATACAAGTATTTTTATGGTTAGAGGGAAATTTACAGCATTAAGTGTTGAGACTAGAAAAGATGAGTTCAGATTTGAATAAATTAAGTCAGAAGTGAGGATAAATTAATTCAGGCAGTGAGGTCTAGGACCAACGGGAATATAGTCTAAGGCCCAGAAGAGAGAGGTGGGGTAGTTATTTAGATTCTGTAGTCCCTAGACATTATGTGTAGTTAAAGCCATGGGAAGTCCTCAGGTAGACTAAAAGGTCCATGAATTAAATCCTGAGGAGTATCAGTATTTGAAAAGAGGATCCCTCTAAGGAGGCTAAGGGAAGCATGCATTTATCCTTTGTGTCGCCATCACAAGGCACAGGACCCAACGTACAGTCTCAGTTCGCTAAACTTAAGAGAATGGGTGCAGAGTGCATGGTTATTGATAGAGCTTATAGAAGGAGATCAGAGGAGAAATGGCATGAGGGGTCGCAAAGGACAGAATGAGCTTGGTAGATTGAAGAGGAGGAGTGGTGCGGGGTAAGCACGACGAACTCCACCTTTCCTTAGATGGGGCTGGGAGGACCAAGCCGTTAAAGTTGAACGATTAAGTAGGGTCAGACTATGCAGGTCCTGAAATGGATGTCAGATTGAAGAATTTAGACTCCAAAAGGCCGGCTACCCCAGGAAGAGCCAGGGTTCTGGAGTGGGGTGTGAGAACGAGAGATTTCCTTCTGGTAGGTGCACTCTGGAGGCGGTGCACTGGTGGAGGCAGCCGAGGTGCTGCCGCTGGCGACAGTGCTGACTTGTTACCGGTGGTAGGGCTTTCCACTGGACTTTGGCTTTGTAGCTACTGAAAGGGAACAGTGCCGCCGGCTGCTGCTGATTTTATGCCATTCCCTGACCAAGTGCTGTAACTCTGCTCCTGAGCCTTGAAATCAGACGACAGAGGCGGTGGCATCTGGCCGCAGCTGGGAGGCAGTGCGTGCGCGCCGCGCTGGGATGTCTGGCTGGGAATACTAGGGCAAAACAGACGCCCAGCGCGCCGCGGGCGGGGCGGTCGCGGGGCCAGGCCACTCCCCCGCTCGCCTGCGCAGGCGCGCTTTGGGGCCGTTTCTGTCAGGAGCGCACTAGAGGCCGGACAGTGGCGGGATCCGACGTCTGACTGGACTCGGCTGACTGAACTGAGCGCGGCAGCGGCGGCGAGGGCTGCGTGGCCCCGGCTACCCGCCAGGTCGCAGAGACTAGCAGGGTCTAGCGGGCAGCCGGCGGCACAGGCACAATGGGGAACCGGGAGATGGAGGAGCTGATCCCTCTGGTGAACCGTCTGCAGGACGCTTTCTCCTCGCTGGGACAGAGCTGTCTGCTGGAGCTGCCGCAGATCGCCGTGGTGGGCGGCCAGAGCGCCGGCAAGAGCTCGGTGCTCGAGAACTTCGTGGGCAGGTGAGCGTGCAGGGCGCGGGGTGGGGCGGTGGGGGTGGGGGCGACCCCACTCCGGGCCGTTCGAGCGTGGACGGCGGGAGCGCGAGGCTGGACCAGGGGCTGCGGCGGAACGGAGGGAGGAGCGGAGGTGTCTGTGAGGCGGGCGGGGTCGTCCCGGCTCCGGGCATCCTCTGTCCCTCCCCGCCTGGCGGTTCTCCTGTCTGCCTTTCATCCTGCTATACAAAGCCATTTCCTCCTGGTCCTCCGGTCTGGGAGTCGGGGGAGGGGGTCCGCCCCGGGATCGACTTCCCCCGCCCGATGTGCACCAGCCCCGGGCAGCCTGGGTGCGTCGCGCGCCCGGGAGCTTCGCAGTCCCCCTCTGTTTTCCCAGCTCAATATCCTCCTTCTTTTCTAGTCAGCCTCCCGGAGGCTCTCGGCAAGGCTGTGGGGTATATTTCCCCGCCCCTCCCCCCCCTTGGAGATGCTTTCCTTCTCGCCCTGATTCTCGGCTCCTGTCAGCTGTCTACTGTTCGGGACAGTCGTCGCCTGCCCCTAGCAGGGGAGGCGGGGTGCGAGGAGAAAGAAATCGTTTGTTGTGGTGAGGCTTTAACCCGCGACGCTTCCCCACCATTCTCCTCTCTAGAAGTCGAAGAATAAAAGGTGATGTGTTCGCGTGTGCACCTATTCACGGATCCAGGCATATGTCAGAGAAACCGAGGCACAGACTCTGAGGGGGGTGGACGTGGACATGTGTTGTCCAGGTGCCATGTCATTCCTGCATCATCTCGGAAGGGACGAGCATCTTTCTCGCACTCTCTCTGCGCCCCCTCCCCCAGCATCATCTTCGGTTCCCTAAGCTTTTATTTGTCCTGCCAGCCTTCAAGTTAACACGCTGAATCTAAATTATAGTTACGGGTTTCATAGTTACTCTTAATTCAGAAAAAGCTAAAGAATTAATTTTTAAATTGGGAATCAGCATTTTTTCCATTGAGCAATTCATGAGAGATTAAGTTACCTTAACGGCCTTGCCTGAGCAGTGTAGACATTTGCTAAGAAAAGCCCATTAGAAAGCATTATGAAAGCCGAAATCTGTTTTCTAGCAGTAAACCAGGTAGAAATGTACAACAGCCGAGAGAGTGGGCCAGAGAGGGTACAATACAGAGATTGTACTCTTTTTATTTGGGATTCAGAAAGTTCCTGTTTTTTTTTTTTTTAATTCTTTTTTTGTTAGTGTTTGGTGATGTGTAAAATTTAGATATTCCCATATCTCCTTTGGGAATGCTAGTATCCATAAAGTGTGTATTCTTTTCTCTCAGATGATGCTCTGTCTCTCAGATGATACTCTTAGGGTTTTTGTTTTTTGTTTTTCTGTTGAACTAGAAAGCTAAGAAACCCAACTAAAAAATAGTAAAATTGCTGACAGTTGGTTGGTATCTGTGACTAAGTCACTTAATCACTTTGCTTGGTTTTATCATTAATTTGAGTGATGAGAAAAGTGATGGTAAAGCATTTTGCCTACGTCATCATAGACTTATGGTGAAGTGATGGATGAATATGTGATTTAAAACATGTACACAGAACCGTCACATACTTAAGGGTTTTACTCTCTTTGATTTATTGCCAATGAAATTCACTAAATTTAAAGTGGTATCTATAGGGAAGGTGGGGTTTGATGACAACGTATTTTTGGGTTCTCAAACTCCAGAGCATTTAACAGTATGCCTTACTTGTCTTTTAGCTACTTTTGTTTTTTAAACAAATACTTAAAGATTAAAATTGTAAGTAATTCAAATGCAGTGACCATATTTTATGCATCTTTCATATATTTAGTTGGATGAGTCTGTTTTATAAATGCACTTTTTGTGGCAAGAGCTTTTGAACCTAATGTCAATTTTATGCATGTATCTTAATTCTGTTCTTCAGATTTTCAAATCCTGAATAAATTCATTAATGCTGTAATAAAATTGTAAACATTTTTCCTCATTAGCTATCCTCTTTTCAAATGAGAATTTAAAAAAATCTAGAAGAGTAAAATATTGTAGCTTGAACATTTTTTATGATAGAATGAAAAATAGGGATGTCATTTACCAGAATACATTAGTAATTTATTATACTTTTTAAAGCTTTACCAATAATTAATAACTGTAAGAATGTCAAGTCAAAGAAAAAGATGGACATAAAGGGAAAAACTCATTTAGTAAATATAGTAATGCTTTATTATCTGTAGAGATGACACCTGCCAGCAGAGCTTATATATTATGAGAAAATTAATTAAAAAGGTCATTTGACTTTAATAAAGGTTTCGGCCATTGAATTATTGAGGAATCTAATTTCTAATTATAAACCAACCTTGGGGAAAAAGGAATTCTCTATTTTGTTAGGAGATTCATCCTAGGTGGAAAAAAATACTCGTATTCTACTATAACCTTTTATCTTTTTATTATCCAGAAATTTTCCAATAAAGATAAGGTTCTTTTCTTTAAGAATGAAACTTTCCTCTTTTACATGTAGCTGTTTTCATTTTAAGACTCTGACCTCTGTGCAGTTATTGAACACAGTCATAAAACAAGGGGTCATTACTTGTATAAATTAAGCATTTGCTCATCATTTAAGCTGGTCTTCAAAATAATGATGCATTTTCTCCTTAATATTTAACATTCCATGTTTAGTGGACTAAACATCTCTTCTCCTCTCAGTTTGTTTGTTTATATTGATTTTTTTGACACCACTGAGTGAATTTGGATGTGAATGGGTTACTTCATTTAACTGTAGCTCTAAAATCCAATTTTGGGGTGACAAGTTTGAGATTATTATGAATAAAATGAATCATGAATGAACTACTTGTTTGTAATTTTTCTTGCTGAAGTGATGAATTTACATATTAATGTAATATAGTGTGAGTAACCAGATTGTTCTTTTGGGTGTTCAGATGAGATATAATGCTCTCAGTGAGAGGCAGCTTAAGGTCTAATGAATAGAAGCTGAGACTCATGGTCTGAATATAGGGGTTCACTAGATGGCTTGGGGTCTGCCCAGTGGTCTGGTTTGTGTACAGAAGAATTTATTCAACTACTTTTATACCCCCCCTTTATTTTTTTAACAGTGCAGTGAGATGTTGATGATGATAGTGGTCAACATTTATGGAGTACTTGTTAGGTATCAGGTACTATTCTAGGTGCTTTTACATGGATAATCTCATTGAATCCTCATAAACCCCTGAAGAGGAGGGTACTCTTTTTTTTTTTTTTTTTTTTTTTTTTGTGGTACACGGGGCCTCTCACTGTTGTGGCCTCTCCCGTTGCGGAGCACAGGCTCCGCATGCGCAGGCTCAGCGCCATGGCTCACAGGCCCAGCCGCTCCGCGGCATGTGGGATCTTCCCGGACTGGGACACGAACCTGTGTCCCCTGCATCGGCAGGTGGACTCTCAACCACTGCGCCACCAGGGAAGCCCGAGGAGGGTACTCTTAAGAGTTCTGTTTTATAGAGGAGGAAACTGAGATTTAGAGACTTTGAGTAACTTGCTGAAGGCAAATTTAACATAAAAACAGTGGAGCAAGGATTCAACTTGAGGTATCTGGGCTCTATACTTGTGCTCTGAAACCTCTGTGCTGTATTAAACCCCCTCCATATTGAGATTTACCAGTTCCTCTGATAAATACTTTTAACTTCTTTCTTTGATCACACTTAAAATCGCCACCTAAAATAATAAGAAACTGCTATGATAATAATTTCATTCATATTTATTTATGTATGTCTATCTTGCCTCATTTCACGGAGGATTTGAGGCAGCCCCTTAGGCAGAAACAACCTTAGTTAAAAGATAAGTTTTTTTCTTTATCTATATTAGACATTCTTGAAGGGAGCTCTAGGATATAATTGGGTTATTTAAGTATGTGTTGATAGGGAATATAACTTGTTTATAGAGGTGTTAAGTGAAAACTGTACTACTACGCTTTGGGGCTGTTTCTGTTTTGAAATTTACTACTTGTACTAGTAGTACAAGTATGTTTTTTAATGACATACTTGTTAGAAACATTAGTTCTTCAATGCTTATTATATAGGCAGAGGATTCACATTATTTTCTTCTAGCCTAAATGGTAAATAGACTTTCAATTTTGCACAAGTAGAATAGGTTTTTTTGACTAATGGGGATCAAATAAAGGATAAAGTGACTATGTTGAGGGGAGTACATTTCAATGTGGAAATGTCATATAAGGTTTATTTATTTAGTTGTGAGGTTTCTAAAGATGGGTATGTTGATTATCAAATTAGAGTTGTTTCACAGGAGAACCTTAAAAGTGAGCCATTTGATGCTATTGTTGAATGGACGTGACCAGATAATTTTTCAAAAATCCAAAGTCATTTATATGTCTTAGATAGATACTAATTTTTTTTTTTTTTTAAAGAATAACCACTTCTGTAGGCTTTTTTGTTTTTTGGCTGTGTTGGATCTTCGTTTCTGTGCAAGGGCTTTCTCTAGTTGCGGAGAGCCAGGGCCCCTTTTCATCGCGGTGCGCGGGCCTCTCACTATCGTTGCCTCTCTTGTTGAGGAGCACAGGCTCCAGACGCGCAGGCTCAGTAGTTGTGGATCATGGGCCTAGTTGCTCCACGGCATGTGGGATCTTCCCAGACCAGGGCTCGAACCCGTGTCCCCTGCATTAGCAGGCGGATTCTTAACCACTGTGCCACCAGGGAAGCCCCCGATAGATACTAATTTATTCTTAAATCCTTTGACTGATTTCAAGAGAGTATTAAAAATTGAGGTAAGAGTTCTTTAATTGCAAGTAAGATTAGGCACAGAGCATGCATATTGGTAAACTTCTTAATTCAGAAATAGGTTTGTATTGAGGGAAAAGATTTTTTAAAATATCAAAGCATCTGAATTAGTGACTATTTTTCAACAAATGGCATCCAAGTATTAAAGTTATTAGATAAATGGGTGCTAACAATTAAAATGTGATAATTGTTGAAAATCATACTTCATGGTTCTCAAGGGTCTATTTAACTGAAGTGTCAGAAA